GCTGGAGTGCAATGGCGCGATCTCGGCTCACCACAACCTCCGCCTCCCGGGTTCAGGCAATTCTCCTGCCTCAGCCTCCTAAGTAGCTGGGATTACAGGCACGCGCCACCATGCCCAGCTAATTTTTTGTATTTTTAGTAGAGACGGGGTTTCACCATGTTGACCAGGATGGTCTCGATCTCTTGACCTCGTGATCCACCCGCCTCGGCCTCCCAAAGTGCTGGGATTACAGGCTTGAGCCACCGCGCCCGGCCCTCTGATTAGCGTTTCTAAAGGAGGCAGTCAGATACACCACTAAGTCAACCAGCAAAGGTGTGACTTTGAATACAACAGGTGGCAGGTCGACCCCAAGCAGTTCCCAGCTGGACTTTTCCCTTTAGCTTAGTTATGCGGGGGCCCCAAGATTTCTTTTCCTTTCACAAAAGCAATGGAGTGGGTAAAGGAGAACCTCTCTATTGTAGGCTTGTTGGAGCCTGAAATTCTGGGAGCTTCTAGATGGAGGAGGCAGCGGGGAGAGTAGGGTAAGGTTGAGAAAGTCAGAGGGTCCTCTCTTTTAGAAGCTTCTCGCATGTGCTATGCAGGACGCCTCCCCGAACGCCAGTCTCCCTCTAGCTGCAGCCGGGTTCTCAGCTCCCCTCGTGTCCTGCCCCTGCCAGGATGGCCCAAGGCTCCTTAGTTCAAACCCAACCCATCCCTTTCTTACCCCAACCTGCTTCTTCTGGGGTCTTATCTCAGTAAATGTCATCAGCTCTCCCCGAGATCTCCCTCATATTTCCTAATGGGCTACTCTGTGCTCCATGTGACTTCATACATGTCCTGTGTACAGGAGTTGGAGTCACCTCCAACTCGCCTTTTAGCTCTTACTGGGGTTCTTTAGTTGAATCTAGGCCCATATTGAGAATCGCCTGTAATCCTAGCTACTGGGATGCTGAGGCAGGAGGATCTCTTGAGCCCAAGAGAATGAGATCAGCCTGGACAACTTAGGAGACTCTATCTCGGTGAAACCCCGTCTCTACTAAAAATACAAAAAAAATTAGCTGGGCATGGTGGTGCGTGCTTGTAATCCCAGCTACTCAGGAGGCTGAGGCAGGAGAATTGCCTGAACCCAGGAGCGGAGGTTGCGGTGAGCCAAGATCACGCCATTGCACTCCAGCATGTGTAACAAGAGCGAAACTTGTCTCAAAAAAAAAAAATAAATAAAAATAAGAAGAAATGAATAGATAGCAGACAGACTAACAAGAGAAAAGAATACAAATTTTATCCATTTTACATGTAAGTGGGGATCTTCACGAGAGAGAAGTCAGAAAAAGTGGGCAAAGCCAGGTGCTTTTATATTTCTTAGAGAGCTATATATACATATATATATATATATATATATATATTTTTTTTTTTTTTTTTTGAGACAGGGTTATGCTCTTGTTGCCCAGGCTACAGTGCAATGGCACGATCTCAGCTCACTTCAACCTCCACCTCCCAGGTTCAAGTGACTCTCCTGCCTCAGCCTCCTGAGTAGCTGGGACTACAGGCGTGCGCCATAACGCACCTGGTTAATTTTGTATTTTTAGTAGAGGTGGGGTCTCACTATGTTGGTCAGGCTGGTCTCGAACTCCTGACCTCAGGTGATCCACCCACCTTGGCCTCCCAGAGTGCTGGGATTATAGGCTTGAGTCACAGCACCTGGCCAAGAACGATCAATTTTAACAGAAATGACAGGACAAAGAAAATCTGGCTAGGGTGGTAAATTTTCGAGGAGAGTCACTGGGAGATATATGGGAGGGAGCGTCAGACAGGTGGAAGATATGGATTACTTTGTTTGGTCCCTTGTGGCCTCTAAGGGCTATTTTCTCACCCTCGGGAGGGGAAGCAAAAAGTCTGGGAGAGATATAAGGATTCAGTGTAGCCCAGGGAGTGTGGTCTCAGCCCTAGGTCTCCCAGGCCTCTGAGGGACACAAGAGAAAACTGAAAATCTACCTTAAAAGCAATGACATTTTGTCTCTTGCAGTGCCCACCCCTCGGCATGGTGCCTATCAGCCACAGGCTAGAAGAGCTCTGGGAGATGCTGGAAGCTCCCTTAGGGATCTGGACCCTCCTGGGAAGGAACCAGGGGCAGAGTTCTCACTCTTGGAGGTCAGCCTCTGAGGCCCATGTCACCAGGCCAGTGCATCCACTGATGGGCCTCTAGGTCAAGCATTGCCCACAGTGGGGACAGGAGGAGGAGCACGGGCCGGCTGGGCAGCAGGAAGCAGGGGCGGGCCTTGCTGTGGGAGAAGTGGGTGCTGTACCAGCTGTGGGAAAAGGGTCACTCCCTGGGGCCTGGCTGAAGGTACTGGCAAAGTATGGCTGCACTGGGGACAGGAATGAGGTGCTGGGTGAGTGCCAGATGTTGAGGCCAGGCAGAGACTGCAGGTTTGGGGAAGGCCTGGCTACAGGGAGACTTGGTCAGAAGCTCAGAGACCAGGTCAGTGTTTCTGACGCCAAGGGCTTATGACAGCTCCCAAACAGACTCCTGCTGGTCCCTTCCAAATGTGTAATGTTTCTGAGTGGCCATTGGGAAATTGCTGATTCAAAACTTACCTCTGGCCCTGTCAACTCCCCAAGGCCTTCTCATATTCAGGGAACAGAATCAACCGTCACAACAGCAGCATTCAGACGGGCACCCCTGGGAGACACCCCCATCCCCCACCTCCAGACCATGCTGGCCAACTGAGGGGGTTACCAGGCAGTGACATTCCCACACATGTCAAGGCCAACCAGAGGAGCCACCATCAACCGCAGAGGCAGCTTTTCCAGGGCCTAGGGGCCTGGAGACACAAAGGTGAACTTTCTTCATCCTAAACTTGAATTCACACCCTGCCACTAAGCCGGACGATTCATAGTGTGACCTGACTGTAGTCTCACTGGATGTCTCCAATCAAATTAAGTGCTGGGCACGATGGCTTACCCCTGTAATCCTAGCACTTTGGGAGGCAAAGGAGGGTGGATCACTTGAGATCAGGAGTTCAAGACCAGCCTCGCCTACATGGTGAAACCCCGTCCCTACTAAAAATACAAAAACTAGCCAGGTGTGGTGGTACACGCCTGTAATCCCAGTTACTCGAGAGGCTGAGGCAGGAGAATCACTTGAATTCGGGAGGCGACATTGCACCTGAGCCGAGATTGCACCACTGCACCCCAGCCTGGGTGACAGAGTGAGACTCTATAAAAAGAAAAGAACCCCTGTCTTGGCCAGGTGTGGAGGCTCACACCTGTAATCCTAGCACTTGTGAGGTTGAGGCAGCTGGGTCACTTGAAGTCAGAAGTTTGTGTCCAGCCTGGCCAACATGGTGAAACCCTGTCTCTACTAAAAAAAAAAAATACAAAAAATTAGCTGGGCATGGTGGTGGGTGCCTGTAATCCCAGCTATGCAGGAGGCTGAGGCAGGAGAATCACTTGAACCTGGGAGGTGGAGGCTGCAGTGAGCCAAGATCATGCCGGTGCTCTCCAGCCTGGGCAACAGAGCGAGACTCCGTCTCAAAAAAAACAAAATTGAATTAAGTGAGAAAGAGAAGGTCAAGATCCAAGGCTCCAGGGGGTGTAATAAATTCAGGTCAGCAAAAATAAGTCACACTAGGAGCAAGGAACATATAAAGAGCGTTTGTTCCTCAACAAAACATTCCTCTTCCAGCTGGGACTCAGGAGTCATCTCCTCTTCTCCCCTTTCTGCTTTTCTCTCAGGCTCCTCCTTCCTGGGAATTCTAAGCAGTTTGGACTTCACAGCTGGGCCTCCTCCTACTCCCAGGAGATGGAGGCTGGTTTGGAGTCATGGAACCCTGGGGAAGAACACTGATCACTCAGGAAACATATCAAAAGACAGATACAGCCGGGCGCGGTGGCTCAAGCCTGTAATCCCAGCACTTTGGGAGGCCGAGGCGGGTGGATCACGAGGTCAAGAGATCGAGACCATCCTGGTCAACATGGTGAAACCCCGTCTCCACTAAAAATACAAAAAATTAGCTGGGCGTGGTGGCGCGTGCCTGTAGTCCCAGCTACTCAGGAGGCTGAGGCAGGAGAATTGCCTGAACCCAGGAGGCGGAGGTTGCGGTGAGCCGAGATCGTGCCATTGCACTCCAGCCTGGGTAACAAGAGTGAGACTCCGTCTCAAAAAAAAAAAAAAAGACAGATACATATCCTAAGACTACATTCATTTCGTGAAAATGTATTGGCCCCCTCTTGTGTGCCAAGCATCATTCTAAATGTTCTAGGTGGCGAAGACATTGGTGAGCCAAGTTAAAGTCCTTGCAGTAAGTTTACATAAACTGGGGGAGAAGGATA